TTCCTGCTATTTCTAAAGCTGTGAGCAGAGCAGCAGCATCCTCCAAGACTGTTTTGCTCAGCATAAAATAACGAAAGTGGCATGGCTCACCCCTCTCAAGTTTGCTCTTTCTTCTCTTCGCAATGATCCCTTGCGTGTTTGCCATTGACCCCATCCCTATCTATTTCTTGTAAGCATCTGTGGACTTTGTTCTTGCATCCCCCCTTTCAAGAGCAGCTAGTTTTCTGTACAGTGTCCTCCAGGATGTCCATCCCTCACATCCTCCTTCGCATGACAGAGGTTCCTATTAGCCCAGGTTTTGTTGCTGTGGCGTGAAGCCTTTGCATAGGCTCACCTGCGGGGACAGGGTGCCCTGAACACAAGTGGCTAATAATTGCTAGGTCTGGGTTTCTTTTTCTTTCTTATTTTTACCTTCCCTCATGTGTCCCAAGGGCTGTCTGTGCAGGGCTCTCTCCGCACAGAGCTGCAGGCGACCCTGGCAGATACTTTCCCTGGGGTATTTTTGCTGACAGGTGATACAAGGTGCAACAGAGGATTGGAGACAAGGCGGCACCCTGCGAGCACAGCTTGCTTGGGGGCACATGCAGTTTGTTTTCCCCATTGGAAGGCTCGGGAGAGGTGAAATGTGGATGCTGGAGGATCCCACAGCAGGGATGGCTGGGCGGTGCAGTGCGGGGCTGACTTCCTGCATAGCCAGACACAGCTGGTGGCACAAGGGGCTGATGACTAGTACCCCACTGGAGGCCTGCTTGGAGCTCAGGAAGAAGTGCTGACAGGGACCCTCCCTCTCTTGGCAGATCCCCTCCGTGTCCTGGCAGGATGTTGGTGGGCTCCAGGAGGTGAAGAAGGAGATCCTAGACACTATCCAGTTGCCCCTGGAGCACCCAGAGCTGCTGTCGCTGGGTCTGTGCCGCTCTGGTCTGCTGCTGTACGGGCCTCCAGGGACAGGGAAGACCTTGCTGGCAAAAGCTGTGGCAACCACGTGCACCATGACATTCCTTAGGTGAAGAGTGGGGGGTCGTGCAATGGGACTGACTCTCCTGGCAGTGGATGGGCATGTTCTAACTGTCTCCCTCTTCTCCCTGCCCCACAGCGTGAAAGGGCCAGAGCTCATCAACATGTACGTTGGGCAAAGCGAAGAGAACGTGCGTAACGGTGAGCAGATGCATCCTGCTCCTGCGTGTGGGAAGACAGGGCTTTTTTGTGGTGCTGGAGGGAAGGACATAGTGCTTAAACCCCTCTTCTCAACTCCCACCCGCAGCTGCCAGCAAGGACACAAACCCAACTGTCTCCTGCACCCAGTCTGTTCCCTTCTTCGCTGCAGCTTCACCTCCTGCTCTCTCTGCTCCTGTCGCTCTTGTCCCTGGTGTTTCTGATGGGACAGCAGCCCCTCAGAGACACAGCTGAGCCTCGGGGCCCATTGTGCTGGGTGCTGCCTGTCCCTGCTCCTACTGAGCCCCTCAGGCAGGAGCAGTTGGTGGTGATGAGGCAGTGGGCAGCTGGTTTCCATCCACAGCTCTTCCCTGCTGGTGATGTAGCAGGGCCTGTTGCTGTTGTCTGCTCCTCCAGGTCTTTCTTACCTTTTGTGCTGTCTCCTCCCAGTGTTTGCCAGAGCCAGGGCTGCTGCTCCCTGCATTATCTTCTTTGATGAACTGGATTCCCTGGCCCCCAGTCGTGGGCGGAGTGGAGATTCAGGGGGCGTCATGGACAGGTGAGTGAGCATCATACATCCTTGGGAAAGCAGCATGCCTGCTTCAGCGGTGGGGAGGCACAGGATTGCCCTGCGAGGCAGAGTCCATCCCAACCCTCTCTACTTTTTCCCTCCCTGCTCCCTTCAGCACCTCTGTGTGGCCTGTCTCCTCTCTCTGGACACTAGTACTGCTGTTTGCATTGCCACAGGTTCCCGATTGCCCAAGCTTGTTATGCAAACATTTGGTTAAGACAGAGTCTCCTCCAGCTGCTTCTGTGGCTGCCAGCTGCTCCCTTTGGCCTCCCCAAGGTCATCCCTCACACCCCTGCCATGCTCTCCTCCTATTAGCTGCTGTTTCCCTGCTGTGGGAAACCTGTCAGCTGCCTCTGGTAGAAGGAAAGTGTATACAGCTTGGAGATACCCAGGAACAGGGTTATTTCCCCCAGAACTCTTCTGCTAAGCTGGTATCTCCATCCAATCTTCCATCCATGAGGGGTTCTGACCCATAGCCATGCCTGTGTTTGGTCTCTGTTGCCAATGCTGATAGGAAGTATAAGCACATGTGGCCATCCTGGAAGGGTTCAGAGCTGAGCACAAACCTGAAGGACTGTCTTGGTACCAGGGGTTTGCACTCACTTTGCAATGATCCCACATGCTCACTGGCTGCGCTCAAAAGGAGAAGTCTGGTTGGCTGTGTCACAGCTCTTCAGGGAAGGGAAATACAAGCTGAAGTCCAAGATATGCCCCTGCCAGTGGCCTTGCTTATTCCTCTTTTCGTTTGGTGGCTGAGGGTGACAGTGGGTGACTTGCCAAGTTGTGAGCGTCCTCTCTTGCTCCTTGCAGAGTTGTCTCGCAGCTCCTGGCTGAGCTTGATGGCCTTCATTCCACTGGAGAGGTGTTTGTCATTGGAGCTACAAACAGGCCTGACCTCCTGGACCCAGCTCTGCTCCGGCCAGGCAGGTACATCACATCCTATGCTGCCTCGCTCCAGAGTGGTTCCCCGGAGCTCCTCAGGCAGTGATGAGCTGGACTGTGTCCCCACCACGTAGCCCCCCACAGAGACTGTCCCTGAAGCCCCCTGGCCCTGGCTTGTAGGGAAGACAGGAAGCCAAGAGGAGGCCAGTGCCTATGGCTGTAGTGGCAGCACAAGACAGCGCTGCTTGTTATCCCCCCATCTCCAGTTGTTGCCCCAGCAGCAGAGCAGGGCAGTGAGGACCAAACTGGCAGGAGGAATTCGTCCCCCAGGGCCTCTTCTGCAGAGCCTGTGGCTTGCCCATCCAGGGGCAGGGCTTTGTATCTGCTCTTGTTGGACCTCATGTGGTTCCTGTCAGCCCGTTTCTCCAGCCTACCCCAGTCCCTCTGAAGAGCAGCCCTGCCCTCCAGCACATTGCCTGCTTGCCCCCCAAGCTTTGTATCATCCATGAACTTGGCAGCAAAAGAAGCTGCCCCAGGGCTGCCCTTCAGTTTCTGGTGCACAGAGGTGAGCACCGGTGGCAGGTTTGTCTTGGCCTGTTCTTAACTGACTCTTGTCTCTGCTGACAGGTTTGACAAGCTGGTCTATGTGGGCATAAACGAAGACCGGGAGTCACAGCTGCAGGTGCTGAGCGCCGTCACCAGGAAGTGAGTGACCCTGTGCTCTTGCAGCAGCCTTCCAAGGGTTCGCAGCCTTCCTGGGGTTGATGCATAGTGTGCTCCAGCTTGGCTGCCTGTCTGAGCCCGGGGGAGCACCTGAGTCACTGACCCACAGCCAGCAGGTAGGGAAGGTGGATGGGGTGACTTCCAGGAGCAGAACTGGGGCTGGTTTTCCTACAAGATGGGAGCAGCTCAGCTGGCTGTCCCCATGGAGAGGTTGGTGGAGTTCTCCAGTCACCATGCCCACAAGCTCTTCTTGAGGAGCTCAGCCAGATCCTAACAGTGTGGTGAGACTGCAGCGCACCAACATGGCAGGAAGCTCCCATTTGTTTCCTGCAAGAGTTCCCCTAGCACATCTCCTGCTGTTTGCAGGTCCAAGGGTGAAGGCAGCTCTGTTCGTCTCACTGCCTCTCCTGCAATGCCAAGGGGTGTTCAGCCTGTGCTCTGTGTGTCTTTTCGAACACAGGTTGTATGGGATCACTGAGCAGCAGGGTTTGGCTACTTCCCCAGCTGCTCTGAGCTCCCAAGAGCATTTCTGGAGGGAGAAAAGCAAGCCCTGCAATTCAGGTGCAGACGTACCACCCACCACAGCTGGGTGAGCAGCTGTGAATCTGCCTCTGCAGGGACTTTCTGTCATGGATAGCTGTGATCGCTGCTGCCTTTGACGATAAGCTAGCAGGAGAGGCGAGAGCGTGGGCTGGCTGCGAGCATCTTTTCACACCATGTAGCTTGGCAGTCGTGCCCTCCAGCATCGTGCTGCTGTTCACGCTGAAGGAGGCTCGCTGTCTGCAGCATGGCTCTGATGGGACAGTTTGGTGTTACAGTGGTTTGTACTGTCTGTAATTAAACGTGTTCTTATCCAGCCCTGGCTGTAGGCTATTCCCAGGTATGCAGAGCACTTAATTTCTCTGAGCGAGAACTCAAAGTTGCCTTTGATCCTACTTAGCAGGAGAGAGGACCTTGGTGCGGGAATGTTTCAAAGAGAATTGACTGCATTGAAAAAACAAACCAACCAACCAACCCCTTTGATTTTTTTGGAGCATGCAGAGCACAGTCCAGAAGCAGCTAAACATGGGGCCTCCGATTCTTCCTGCCTAGTCACGCTAGCTGCCGTGTCTCTCCTGGTCTGTTTTTTCTGTGGCTTTTACACCTGCAGTTTTCTCTTTTGGCAGGTTTAAACTGGATCCTTCCGTGAATCTCACCACCATCTTAGAAAAATGCCCAGCTCAGCTGACAGGAGCAGACATCTACGCCCTGTGCTCGGATGCCATGATGTGTGCTGTCAAACGCAAGGTGGAGTGGATTGAGGAAGGTAGGAGCTCAGCCCATACCTGTGCCACGTGTTGGGGCAGAGAGGAGAGTCACCACTACTGGTGACGGGGCTTTGTGAGAAGAGCCTCGACGGCTTTGGGACCGTGTCTCAATGCTGGGCTCCAGGTTACTGGCAGGCAGGCAGTTTCTGCAGATGAGATCATCTTCATCTCCAGTGCTTGGCCCCCAGGGGGAAGGAGAGAGACACAGGTTTTCCTTCCAGTCTCTGGTGGCTGGAGAGGGGGCTGTTGGATCTTGCCAGCTGCCCCTGCACTTGGCTCTCAGCCTTTTCCTGTTCTCTCCCTCACACAGGGCTGGATACTGAGAGCTCTGCTCTGATCCTGACCATGGAAGACTTCCTGCAGGCTGCTGCGAGGTTGCAGCCATCGGTCTCTGAGCAGGAACTGCTCAGGTACAGACTCATCCAGCAGAAGTTTGCTGCCTGCTAATGCTCAGCAGCGCATTAATGATGTGTTAAGGGGTGTGAGAGAACAGGCACGAACAGGCACCCACCTGCTCTTCTCTGATGTCTCCTGGGTCCTTGTCTTTCGAGCTTGGGTTCTGTAACAGTTCCTCACATCTCAGGGAGCTCTTTGTGGCTGCCGGGAGCACACAGGGGTGACTTCCCCAGGGGGAGGAAGCCAAGTCTCACTGTTGTGGGCAATGTAGGAGTGTCTCCATGGGTAACAGAGCATTGCTGGGGGAGCAAGGCCCAAACTGCACCCGGTTTGGCAGCAAGAGGGAAGCTGGAGGCAGTTGGGGGTCAGCCCCCATTGAGGGGTGCTGGCTGGAGGGCAGCAGGACACAGGGCACTGCTGCTGCAGCTGGCCTGGGCTTGATGTGGTCTCTCTGAATAAATACAGGTTTTTGGCACTAGGTATTTGCTGCCTGGCCTGAGGTCTTTGCTTTCTGGTGGTGGCTGTGGGCTCGGGAAGGTCCCTGTGAGCCCCT